GTCCCACGCAAGAGGTTTTTTCTCCCTGTACATGTCGTTCATGTGTACTTACATCCCGTCTCTGTGAAGAGTGACTCAATTTTTGTCCGCAAATATTCCCGAAATTTTGATAAAATTTTTGGAACATCGATAAAATTTACTGTCTCCAGGTAATTACGAATTGAATTGATGCATTTACGACCGATTTTTCCGTCTTTAGTTGTCGCGTTCCACGGTGGATCCGTTCCGATCGATGAGTGGGCGTTTGGAAACGTTCGCAATCGAATCTAGACGAATCGGAAACGAGAGCGTCTTAAAAACACCGATGAAAAAAAAAGAAAAAAACAAGAGGAAGGGAAAATATGCGGCCGGAGCGATGTGATGCAATTAAAGAAACAATAGTGCATGGCGGCTGGGTTGCAGTTGCAACAACTTTCGACGACGACGAGCGATTTCTCCTCGACGAGCATCACTTTCTCGGTGAAAACAATCTCCTCTCGCGGGAGTCGCGGGTCTTGGACCATCGCTCGCGCGCCCGACCCAACCGAGAGCTTCTTTCCATGCCGTCCCACAGTTTGTCGTTATCGTATTCGATAGTGGTTCGATATATCGTTTGGTTCAAAACTATAGGGCAAACCTCAAACAAAAATTTTGGGAGCTAACTTAGATAAGCTGAAAAAGAGGAAATTCCGAACAATTTCACTTTTCATGGGCATTGTAGTTCTTATAAAAATGAAAAATCAATCACGAAAACCCCTTCCAATATAGATTATTCGATTGACTTTTCAGGCTATGTCATGGCCATGTGGAACCAATCGATATCGATAATGTATGGAATAAAATGAATTTCGTCCGCTAGAGCAGAGCTCTAACCTGCGGCCTAATAGTGAAGTGAATGATTGTGTCCAAAATTCATTTCGACCAAAAATAGCTGCAGTCCCTAGAGCATCAACAGTGGGACCCAAAGAAACCCTTAAGAATTTAAGTCAAAACGGACCTCGTTTAGCAGAAAGGAACCAAGTCACATTCGCTGTTGCCAAATTTAATTGCACTTTAATTTAGGAAATGAAAACGGTTGTGCAGATTTGTGTTCAAATTTCAGAGAATTTTCTGCACAGTACGAAGCAAATTTCTTAAAATTTTCAAAGGAATCTGCAGAAACTTTCTCGAGTAAAAAATTAAATTGCCCAGTTGAATTTGGCAATAGCTGATGTGGCTTAATTCCTTCCTGCTAAACGCAGTCCAAATTTTGGACAGCTTTCAGCAGCTTTCCAATTCATATAAAAGAGGACACATTTGACATCGCCTTGACGAATCCTCTTCCTGCATAAGCGCTTCACCAAATAAATTAATGCGTTTATATATACTGATGAACTTTCTCATCATTGCATACAGTTTCTGAAACTAAGTTTCCCACGACACTGAAATCGAATCTATGATAAGTAACTGATTAGGTAATAATAAAGCTATCGTTAAAGGCTGAATAATACTGGCATCCATTTCAATCCGCTCATATTTTCCATTGTATTAAGTCATCGACGCTCGTGTGTGGGTAAGCAATAAGTGGACACGGCCAAGGGTAACGAGTCTCCGACTGTTCCGGCTAAGTTGCGATGGACGGTTCATTGCGTTTTGTTTCAGCTCCGCGCTTGGTGCTACGTCACGGGAAATCTATGTAAATCGATACATTTTCAATGCTTCCATTGAGAGAGGTAAATCAAGAATCCTCATTCGGACGTCAGCGAGTACGCTTCGCGTTATTTACAGAAATACGGCAACGGCGCTTGTGGAAGCGTCTTAACGTCCGCATAGTACATACAAGCAATGAGAGTGTGCTGCAACCGGGTATCATAACGCCGTCTTATTGTTTTACAAACATGCCGCATTGGACAATCCTGCGCGGAGGAGTCATTTACCAATATCCATCGCTGCTGACAATACTGACACACTAGTCTCATAAACTCGGTCGATTCCGATGTGTTTGTTTTGTGTTTACGCCCAGAATTGGAGCGAGTTCAGCTGAGCCGTAATCAGCGATAAATTCGATCTACTTCCCCCCCCCCCAAAAAAAAAAAACCGCTGGATACGTTTGCATTTTAACGTCAACGCTAATCAAGGCTCTTCTCTAAGTTCAAACTGGAGGTTGTATCGATGTCTTTTCCAGCCACCTGATTGGTCGGTAATGCAAGTCGGCGAAATAGATGATCCCATTTGCAGCCTCCAGTTTGAACTTGGATAAGAGCCGTCATGAACCGCACATTGAGGAGTAGCGAAAACTGATTGTGAGATGAATTTGTGAATTTTTTAGTAAATCATATCGACGATGCAGTAGGCGTTTGGGGGGGGGGGGGTAAAAGGGTTGGCTATAAGTAGCTTAAAAAACTTGAAAGTTCAGTTTTGACATAATTTTAATGTTGATCTCCCATAGTGGCAGAAATCAACGATTGAGAAAGTATTTGAAGCAGTTTTTCTCTTAAAATTAAGAGATTTTCCGAAATTAAGTATTGTCTGCAACTTCCTCTTTATGATTGATTTTTCAGGGCATGTCCCCAAACGCATCATGGAAGTAGAATTATAATGAAGTTATCAAAAATTATTGTACACTATGAATAAATGTTCATTAATGCCATATAGAAATAGTGACAGAAGCTGTAATTTTTAACGGTACTAGGTAGTTTCCCAAAAACTGATCCATCGACGAATAATTGAAAGGGAATTGAATACGTTAAAAATCTTTATTTCTGTCATAGGAATAGTAGGAGACGCATTCAAGAGGTTCGCAAATTGAGACAAGGCTGAAAAACTGCTTTAAATTTTGAGACTTTTATTGATTAGGTTGGTTCGACTTGATCAATTTTCAATGATTCAGATTGTGAGTAAGTATATTAGGAGTAAATTTTATCTACATGCACTTAACCTTCGGTAGAAGGTTGACCTTCCAAAAGAGGCCAAAATGGCGGAGCGACTGAAGCCGCATGCAATTTATTGCCCGAACCACTGGGAATGACGTCTTCGTCTCGACACTTGACGTCATAGGTTGAATTTACATCGTGGTTGGGTTGACAGGCTCGAAAATACCTCGAAACCTTAATAGTTTTGATGAAACAACGATGCCTGTGTCGACGTGAAACGAGCATGCTTAGAGGCCCTGCAGTTAGAAATGCACACGCAGGTACACACCGCTAGAGAGGGGAAATTTTCTATCCAAGTGCGAACTAAAAAATGATACGTTAAAAGCCTCGCTTCTTTGCAAATCCCACTACGATTACCTACTTGGACTCTTGCGTAAAAGCAACAGTATCAAAGCGCAACTGTAAAAACCGCGCAAATTACAAACTGTTGTCATATAGGGACTTGCCTCTTATAGGCTCTTCATCAGTTTCACATTGTAATACGAACGAAAGAGATACAAAACTTCGGAATAAAACTGATAGTACTAACATCGTGATACTAGGGTGAGAAGACACCAAAATTTTATTAGAACGATTGTACCCCCGCCATCATCCTACAGGGGTGAGAACTCACCCAATTTTGTACAATAAATCTGTAAAAATTTCCCGAGACTGACGATGCCTTTTCAGCGTGGTTGCACTTCATAAACCCCCACCCCTTCTTCTAAACGTCCGTAAGAGTGAAATCTCATAATTTGGTGTTTCGAAAAATTGTTCCAAACAATTTTTCACTCATTTTTTCTGATCCAGAAAATTGGCACCATTGTTATCCTCTATTTAAACCTGTGGAGATGTATCGATTCTTGGAGGGGCTAGGTGCTCCGACAAAAATCGATTATGTAACATAGGTTTAAATGGAGGAAACCCGGTGTTGCCAATTTGTTGGATCCGCTTCTGCTCATGAATAAATTATCATCCGAACTGGGTTCTTAAAATTCGCCGATTTTTTACCAATCCCTCTAGACCGATTAAATCCATTTCAGGAGGAGACTTGACTACGCCCCTGTAAGACTTAGGGCGTAACATGCCTCGTACGTTCCTACGGAGGAACTTAGAAGACGTTAAAAAAGGTAAATATTGTAAAGCTTCAAAATGAAATTAATAACTTAAAAAGTCACACTATTTTTCTAAGCTTTCCATTTCATCCCATATACCTCGCTCATTAGACATGAGGCATTCTCTTCACTAAATACTTTGGGCAAGATCATGCTCATACAAGACCCTAAAGGAGCCTAGCTGAGCAAAGTGAGTTTGAAGCTCACTGCTCACTGTCAGTAAGTACTAAGGAGTAGCGTCCATCGGAGAAAAAATGTATATGGAGTGTTCTAGCGTAGTCGCGTCCTAAGGGCTGCAATTCGTCGCTCCCTCGGTGAAAGGGAATATCTCAATTTCCACATGAACCCCAGAAAGCATAAAGTTCTATGCAAATCAAGACTCACACGGAAATTGAGATACGCCCTGACGTCAGAAAGGCGACGGTTTCTGATCCGAGTAAAGCTTTGATGACTAATCATCATCTTCGTCAGGAAAGTAAGTACAAAAAGCGGTTTCTCAGAAAAGCTGGACCTCAAATCGTAAGCTATTAGTGAATATTCAGTAAGTACAATCACTGGAGGAGGTGCCGAAAGGTGTGAACCCTCTCGATTGAATCCCC